TGTGCTTCTTCCATGTGGGCTTTGTTGCTTCTGAGCTTGATGGCCGCTTGATTACCTTCAAGCCTTTAAGACCCCAGACGCTATACTTTTTGATCCAAGGCTGTCACTCTTGCCTGCAGTGGGTGGTGGTTTCAAACTGCTGATCTCTCTCTTAGGAACCCAGCTGGTAACCACTAGGTCACTGGACCCCTCTTCTAACAATATTAGTCATAAATTACATGTAGATGGGTTATAATTATTAAGCTACATGGCAGGTTACAAAAAGCCATCAGGCATAGGGAGTACAGAAAATGGGGAGTACAGAAAAAAACATTCTATAATCTGTTGCCTTGGTAACTAATTTGCAACTCACTGCTTATCAATGGTATGCATTGACTGAGAAAGCTGGAGGGGTCAATTTAACTCCAAGCAGATTTCAAATAGTAAATAACACTCAAAACCTTTAAACTCTTGGAAACAGCCCAAACACACACTAATAAATGTATAACAAAATCGATTCTACTCAAAAGCCACTGACTCTATAAAAATGGCTGCTCAAGTCTTGCTCACAACTCCTAGGATAATTCTTTTCCATTAATTAAATTTTTTTTTCATTTTGTTGAGAGTATACACATCATGTTTTCCAGGGTGTGTAATCATTCTCACCCTCCTTCCCTTAGCTGTTTCTTTTGTATTAGCACAAACACTCTGCACCCTAAGGTTCTAATGTAGGAGTTGTTGTTTTAATTTGGTCCCATATAGTTTTGTAAAGAGCACCATGCCCAGGCAGGCATTTCACTAGTTCAGCTAACCTGTTCATTGGTGCTCAGAAGAAGTGAGAGGATAATTTTTTCTTTTTCTTTTTTCCATCGGTGATATTATTTATTTTATATGAGTCCACTGGTAATTGTTTGTGAGTCAGTTGGTCATTTTGTTGAAACATGACCTACAGAATTCGTTTCCATTCAAAGTTCAGTTCAAAATAGTTCAAAAAGGTCCTGTAAACCTGACCTTTTATGATTTTTTTTCCTGCTATTTTCTCCCTCCCACTTTATCTTGGAAATCTGCAGTGGCCCTGTAGTAACCATCAGAATGGTTAATGTGGCCATTGGGTGCAACCTACTTCTTAGGCTATCTCGATAGGTGATGAGTCACTTTCTTTACATTTCTCTCTTTTATATAATTCTGCTTTTCACAGTATAATTTAAGGTGTTTTATTCCCCTACCATATATACACTAAAAATAAGGAATCTAATAAGCACCAGTACAACATCTCTGAGCCCTGAACTGGCTGGCAGACTCCATTGGTCAGAGGTTCTGGTCTGTTTGTGCACAGTGGCCTGGCTGGTGGACTGAACGTAAGAAGTTTCTGAAGTTGTATTGGGTATGTGGCAATGCAAGCGCCTGAGTCCGTGTCTCCAAAGCCCAGATGCATTTTAGAATGAAGTCAATGCCTCAATCAGATTCTCAGCATCATCCAATGTTGGTCCTGACTATTGGGGGTGGGGGTGGGGGTTGTCTCTAAAGTTTGGCAGTTTGAACCTACCAGCTGCATCCTAAAAGAAAGACCTATCAGTCTACCCCCTTACAGATTACAGCCAAGAAAGCCCAAGAATCAGTTCTACTTGTTCATACTTGGGATTGCCACGAGTCCAACTAGACTGGACACACACATCTAGACCAGGGAGCTATTCTGAGGATGACATCCAAGTCTTGGTACATACAAAACACACAGAGAACCGTCCAGCAGTGGTCTGAGGGTCCCTGAGAAGTACTGCAATATCCTAGTGTAGCCTTACCATTGGGGAGATCCACTTCAATGGCCACCGGTTGTCTTGTCATATTATGAAAAGGATCAGGCAGCCTAGGAAGTTGCCATTACTAGGAGGTGAGGTAAATGGGTCTCCCTTGGGGGAGACCCAGCCCCAAGTGGAAGCTCAGCTGAGAGCTGGTGTTTGTCCTGAGGATGGCACGGTCAGAGGTACAGCCACAAGGGACAGGATCTTCTATTGACCTGGGCTCAGAGGATAGCAACCATCATCAGGACCTGCGAGGTGCAGCTACACCTATTGAATTTGTCCCCAAGAACCACAGTCAGTACATTTTGGAAACTTCAATGTGGGCAGGACCTTAGAGGCTTAGGAGTGGTCTTTGGCAACAACTTTGGGCAGGACCTTAGCTTCACCCGTGAATTTTCTCAAAGCCATGTCAGTGGAAGGAGTCATCAGAACACAGTCAGGGAGTGGCCCAGGATGCCTGAGAGACTCATGATGCAGTGGGAGCCCCCAGGGTTGAAGATCAGGGTCACCACAGCACCTGGATACTTTAGCAGGATTCTGGGGTCCAAGACTCAGAGGTGTAGTGTCCTCTATGGAAGGTTCTTTCCCTGGAAGGGGCTGAGACTTCCTGCTCTATGCCTCTTGGCCCTGGCTTTGATGGGCTGCTCCTCAGCCCTGGGAGGTGGCCGGCCACGAGGTCTAACTGGTGGAGGCTGGAGATGCTGGACAGGTAGATCTGAAGTCCTGGGGGTCAGGTCGGATTCTGCGGGACTGCGAGTGGTGACGGCGGCCCCAGGCTGCACAGCGGCCCCACAGGCTGTTAGAGCTCATGGGTGCAGGGTGCACGAGGGCTCGACGACGGTTGGGACTCCTGCCCACAGCCAGAGCGCGCGCGCGAGGGCAGGACGGCACCCTGCAAAGGCCGGCGGAGCCGCAGGCCCAGCTTGGCTCGACCAGGGGAGTGGACGTCCTTCCGGGATCGCAGCGCCTTGGGCTCCCTGTGGTCCACGACAGCCCGGTCCTAGCCCTGCTTCCACAGCTCGTAGCGCTTGGGTTGCAGGATGCCCACAAAGACGTCCATGGAAAACGAGACCCTGGCCTCCCCACAGGTGCACTGCGAGGCCGCTTTGCCGTAATCCACCCAGCGGAGGTGGTGGTGAAGTTGATGAATTGGGCACAGTTGAAGCCGTGGTTGAAGCCCACGTGGTAGCCATAGGGGAAAGTCACCATGAACTCCCTAGGCTCCTGGGTGACCCGCCCAAAGGGGATGCCATTCTCCCTGAGCACGGTGGGCGAAATGAGTGCCACCTTGTGCCGCAGGAAGGCCGCACAGCTCCCCGAACTGCCCGAGAAAAGCTGCCTGCCTGGCCAGGCGCTCCAGGCGGCCTCCGTGCTGTGCTCCGGGGGCACCGTGTACCACGTTTTGGTAGTTGATGCTGTACTGGTCCATGTCTTCTATGTGCCAAGCGAAGGTGGTCTTCCACATCCCAAAGTACAGGTAGGGCGCGTTGACGCCTTCGATGACAACGCCACACTCTTGCTCCAGCAGGTACTGAACAGTGCCCAGGTTCCCC